CTGACTTGCAACTGTACACTTACAACGACGATAGGTTTTTAGAATATATCTGTGATGCAATAGTTTTGTAAAGCGAGAGTTACAAGTGGATATACTCATGACAAACAATAGTTTTGTAACGAGAAAGATACAGGTGGATATAAACACGAAAAACAATAGTTTTGTAAAGCGAGAGATAAAGGTTTAATACTTTTGAGAGAAAAGACTGACTATTTTTAACAGTCAGAGAATCAGATAGATAAATTTGAAAAGTAGGATCAAATTTTAGTCCGTTGGAGATACAGATTAAAAACGTTTATGATTTGTAATAACTGTTAGTTTCGTGATGCTAAAGATATAGATGATATCTGTAATGCAACCTAGTATAGTTGTAAGAGTAGAATTTCAGATAGTAGACCTTTTTAAATTTAGAAAAACTGTTAGCTACATGATGCTAGAGATATAGATAGAATATATCTGTGATTAAACTCGGTAATGTTTAAAAAGCATAGTTGTAGATAAAAGTCTGTCTGTAAGTCAGATCAACTGTCAGCTACATAATGATAGAAGTATATATATAGAGAGAGAAAATATCTGTGATGAAACCTAGTACCGTTATAAAGGTCGAGTTGCAGATAGTAGACTTCTGTAAGTCAGATTGATTGTTAGTTTCGTGGTGCTAGAGAAATAGAGATACAGGTGGATATAAACATGAAAAACAATAATTTTGTAAAGCGAGAGTTACAAGTGGATATACTCATGACAAACAATAGTTTTGTAACGAGAAAGATACAGGTGGATATAAACACGAAAAAATAACAAACAAATGTTTTCTAAAGCGGGAGATAAAGGTGAACATACTCATAACAAACAAATAGTTTTGTAAAGCGAGAGATAAAGGTGAACATACTCATGACAAACAATAGTTTTGTAAAGCGAGAGATAAAGGTGAACATACTTATAACAAACAAAAGTTTTCTAAAGCGGGAGATAAAGGTGAACATACTCATAACAAACAATAGTTTTGTAAAGCGAAAGATAAAGGTGAACATACTCATAACAAACAATAGTTTTGTAAAGCGAGAGATACAGGTGGATATACTCATGACAAACAATAGTTTTGTAACGAGAAAGAACATACTCATAACAAACAATAGCTTTGTAAAGCGAGAGATAAAGGTGAACATACTCATAATAAACAATAGTTTTGTAAAGCGGGAGATAAAGGTGAACATACTCATAACAAACAAATGTTTTCTAAAGCGGGAGATAAAGGTGAACATACTTTTATATATTTCACACAGGTGCACCGCTGTTACAATGTGAGCTCCTGTAACAGGCCATCGCTATTTTTCTTTCTTTATAATTAAGTAAAATCACGATCAATATTCTTTCTTACGTTAACTCTTTCGTTACAGTAGAATGCGGCCTTAAGTAACAAGTGACGTTGTTGATTACTCGATTGTTTTAACTAGGTTAGTCGTCTCCTGTAAATATCACATAAGAAATGTTGTGATCTTATAGAAACGCTTCATCAAAATCTGCCCTAAAAATTACCATAAGAATCATTTAAAGTACAGCGCCATGTTGTAATACTGTAAATTGTACTTGCAAGACATACTCAGAAAACTGTTTTTGGGCTGAGCATTCGGTTTTCAATTCGTGACTTCTCTTATGCTAATATTTATTATGCTTAACAATATTTTTAAATGTAAATATTTTACGAAACAAATTTCAGTATAGAAAGACGAGCTTTCCATTATTAAACTAAGGTTTTATACCCTAGACAAATTTCCATAACATTGCCAACTTTATATAAAAGAGGTTCAAATGTCTAAGATATAAATTTCATTCCACAGCATCTAAGATTCAGCCACTATAAAACTTGAGTTTGACACTCAAGCCCTCCAGTAGCTCAGCGGTAAGTCTGTAGGCTCAAGTTAAAAACCGGATTTCAACACCTGTGTTGGGCACAACACAAAAAGCCCCTCGTGTAGCTTTGTGCTTAACAACAAACATATAAAGTTTCCAATTGGTTCAAAGTCTGTAAGACAAAGATAGCCTGTTGTATAGCTTTGTGCTTAACAGTAAAATCGGGCCCGGCGATTAGGGCGCTTGACTCGCAATCTGAGGATCGCAGGTTCAAATCCCAGTTCCACCAAACATGCTCGCCCCTTCAGCCGTGGGGGAGTTATAATGTGAAGGTTAATCCCACTATTCGTTGGTAAAAGAGTAACCCAAGAGTTGGCGGTGGGTGGTGATGACTAGCTGCCTTCCCTGTAGTTTTCCATTGCTAAATTAGGAACGGCTAAATTCACAACAAACCAAACATCAAAAACCAACAAACAAACATTCTAAAAGTTACTAATAGTACTTTCAAAAAGTTATATCCACAGAATTATACTTTTTTCTTTAGAATGTAATATGTTTATGGGTCTATATAAACACTCTCTCCCAATGCTCTTGTAATAGAAGACTTGTACGTTACGATAACGGGTGAGATAGAATCAATTTCGTGGCCTCTCTCCTCAGACGTTTGTTAACTAATGCTTCAAAGACTATGTTGAATCAGACAAAAATAAGTATTATATGAATATAGATTTTTGTTTCTTTGCAATTAGCAGAATCTTCGAGTTTAAAAGTCGGTTAAATATAAAGAAAATAGGAATTTCGTAGCTATAATATTTAGATCCATAACGAATTAGGTAAACCAAGTTACCGACTTCTATTACAATTAATGTACCATCGGTTCACAATGTTTACAGAAGGAATGGGATCACCTGTAAAACAATTGCATTTCTAACGTTTCCTATTTCACAGGTTCGTTTGTTACGGATTTCGCGCAAAGCTACACGAGGGCTATCTGCGCTAGCCGTCCCTAATTTAGCAGTGTAAGAATAGAGGAAGGCAACTAGTCATCACCACCCACCGCCAACTCTTGGGCTACTCTTTTGCCAACGAATAGTGGGATTGACCGTCACATTATAACGCCCCCACGGCTAAAAGGGCGAGCATGTTTGGTGGGACGGGGATTGCGAGCTCCCTAACCACCTGGCCATGCCGGGCCTATTTCACAGATAGTAAGGGTGTAATTACATTAGACATTTACACCACAACTTATTTCAGAAAAAAAAAACGAAAATTCATCAGCGCTAACAATTCGATCTAATTTCATAAAAAATAGTATTTTTCGTATAACTAATGCCAATGGTAGATAATAATTTGAAATAGTTACTAAACGTATCTAATTTGTGACACTTTTTACATATACTACTTCGAAATAAAGGTTTCTTTGAAAGGATAAATATTTTATTTGGTAAGTCCTCGAACATACATTCAGAATAAAAAAGGCGTATTTAATTGAATGACATCTTAACCGTAGCAGAAGAATTAATCTGCAGTCCAGTAAACGAAAAGATCAGTCTGTTTGCAAGGAGTCTTGCCCCGGGCAAATGTATATCCGAAAGATCTCAAAGGGCGTTCCCACACTCTGTACTAAAAGACCGTTCTATCCGGAGGCGATCGTAAATAAGGAAGACTGTTGTTTTTTTCTCAACAGTTTGTACGTACAAATGGTAGCAAACAGTCAGTGACTTCACCTTCTTACCACGCTACAACATAATGGAATAGTATAATTAGATTCTTTTCTTTCAATTAGATTCTCTCTCTCTTTCATCGAATAAACCAATACATGGTCGTAACTAATAATTAATTTAACATTTTCTCTTGTGGAATCCTATTCGTTTCTGGCTGTTTCATTTTCATCCCAAAGTTTTGTAAAATTAAACTGAAATAGTTTCAATTGCAAAGTTTATAGAACACTCAGCTTATATTAAGAGTAACAGTCCCGTTCTTAAGAAGGCTAGGTGTTGTACCGTTCTTACGGATATTTCCAAAAATATTTTTTGTACGAACAAAAAAATTTGATGAAATGATAAAAAGCAAAGTTTTGTTAGAAAGACTTACAATAAGAAAAGTTTCATGTGTGTTTAATATTAACGTATGTTCGAGAGGTTTAATGATTCAGTCTTACATTACTTCAAATATTCTCTCGTCAAACTTGAACTCCAATTCAAAATCGGAATGAATAATTAGAGGCATTTCTGGCTTGTTGCATAATTTTGCAATGTAGATTGTAAACGATCGCAAACACACACACATAAGCTTCTGCTTTCTAGCTTTCCAGCTTCATAATAAACAGTTCTTTTAATTATACAATTTCTTATCAAAACATTACACTGTGTTTGCGTAGAATCGTTTTTTTTTTCTTTGTTGACTTTATGAACTACTAGGCTCCACTTACCTCAAACTATATTCGTCTAATTAAATCTTTTATTACTCACCTTAATATCATAACAAAGCCAAGTGATAATTTACATATTTTGGATTTACTAGAAGGCTAAGATGTTCAATTTCTGTTTGAACTGTCAAGACTATAGATCTTAAATTCGAACCTTAATTATAGTTAATAATTGAGTTTATTCTAATGATCTCGGTGTCACCACTATAATTAATCTATAATTTTCAAAGGGAGCCGCTGTAATGGAAAATGGGTACTTAGGTTTATTATTAGAGCGCATGGCTACATATTGGGTTTTCTTCGCTGTGGCCGCCGCGGATATCGAATCCCGATTTTTAGATGCTTAGTTAAGGTTGTAGTGAAAGGATGTTTATTGTTGTCGCTTAGTAACCCATACAACCACCTACGTCTAATTAATAACTATCAACTACGTTTTTATGACCAGATACTAATTATTAACCAGTTGTTATCCTGCGTTTCGGGTGCTAATCCACTGCCATCATCAGAGATGTCCTGGGAAGAATTATTTTCTGCATTTCATGAGCGAGATTCGATCCTTGATCTTGTTGATGAAACCTAATGCTTTATCCATTCTCATTGGAGTATCTTCAACTGTAACATGAATCAACTATCTGAATGTTTTCAAGAGGGGTTTCCTAGTTTTTCTTTCGTTTATGATAGGTTGGCTGAGTGTTTTATCAGTGAAGTGGATGTAAAAGGTTTTATTATCTTTCTTTTTTCTCGTGGTGTGTGATTCCTATCCGGTTATTTAATCATTACTCAGTTAATAATATACTCGTCTTTTTTTGGTATGATGGACTATTGCAAGTATGTTGGTATTATAGGGATGTCTATTATGTTCATAAATTATACCTTTCTGGTATGATTGACTATTGCAAGTATGTTGGTATTAAAGGGATGTCTATTATGTTCATAAATTATAACTTTCTGGTATGATTGACTATTGCAAGTATGTTGGTATTATAGGGATGTCTATTATGTTCATAAATTATACCTTTCTGGTATGATTGACTATTGCAAGTATCTTAGTATTATAGGGATGTCTATTATGTTCATAAATTATAACTTTCTGGTATGATTGACTATTGCAAGTATCTTAGTATTATAGGGATGTCTATTATGTTAATAAATTATAACTTTCTGGTATGATTGACTATTGCAAGTATTTAGTATTATAGGGATGTCTATTATGTTCATAAATTATAACTTTTTGGTATGATGGACAATTGCAAGTATGTTGGTATTATAGGGATGTCTATTACGCTCCTAAATTACAACTTCTGTTTCTACAATTTAATATAATACACATTCGCATGGAATGCTGTAAATGGTGTTTTTCCTCTCCACTATGTGTTTAGTAATACCGATTGTAATGTGTTGTGGCTCCTGATTACTGTTCTGATTTTATTTCGATTACATATATTTTTTTTAGTTTTCAAAGAATCCTTTAACGTAGGGAAATATGGCCGTATTTCTGTAGCCTTCTTCTTCTTTATTCTCAGTATTTACCTTCATTATTTTATTTTATACCAAATCTTTCTAGTCATCCATTATTAAGGCGGGTTGTATTGATGTATTTTCCTTCTATTGTTTTATTTTTCGGTACAACAAATCTTGTTCATTCTTAAAGCTTAGCGACAATTTATGTCGTTCCACTGTGGGGGTTGATTTGACTTATAGTCGAGGTATTTACCCGTATTTGTGGGTTTTCTGTAAACTCCTGTGTATATGAGTTACGTGTTTTGGTAACAATGAATGAAAGTTTGTTATCTTCTTCTATTTTCCATCATGAGTTGTAACGTAGGGGTATTGTTTGTTCAGATGGTCATTAATTGTTGAATTTTATCTGTAATGTGTGGTCTATATATTAATATACATATCTGAGCTAAATATGGGGGGAGGGGTGTACAGCGGTTGTTTCGAGGGTGTTAAGTTCGAAACTTTACATGTAGAGGTTACTGAGTACAAGTGACTGGGGTGAGCCTTTACTTAGACTTGATGGTAGAATTTATCTTCAGGCTAGGGGTAGCCTGTGTTGACACAGATGGTTGTGGGTTCTATGATAGTGGAGTGACTTCTTTGAAGAGTTCTATCATTTTTAAGTTGTTGGCAGAGTATCTATAGTGTGTCAAGGGTTGGTACGTTGGGAAGAGGTTAGATGAGTCAAAGCCGATCTTCATGTCGTGTGAGGTTATCGTGGTTGCTCTCATAACTTTTGTACAAAGTGGATTGTGGATTTCGTATACATTCCCGTGATATACGAATTGCGTGCCTTGATAATCATCACGTCAAATAATGAGAGTTTAATATATATATATTTTTTCCATTTCCATGATGAATTGTATCTCGGTATGTTGTCTTTTTTTTTAGCGTTAAAAACACTCAAACTTACCAATAAGCCACCAGGAGGGCTGGTATTTATTTACCTCTCTTTAAAAATACTCTTTACAGCGACACAAATTATTCCTGATCGGTGATGTCTCCGTGCTCTGTTTATTAAGTGTTTGTTTGTCCACATTGGACTATCTGCTATGTCCACCGCGGGGAATCAAACCTCGGATTTTAGCATTATAAGTCTGTAAACTTACCGCTGTCCCACCGGGGAACGTTTACTAAGTGTTTCATGGATATGTGTATACGTACGTGGGACTTAAATAGCTCTAAATGATTTTTTTTTAATTGTGGTGAAATATAGTTTAATGATTAAGTGATTGATAAAGAAGAGTCAAAATATGTAAGTATAATATGTGATTAGACTGTTAAAAGCCGTTCCATTTTTCAAATGCAAATAGCGCGGATTTTCTGTCCTTTTCGTTTATCTTAGTCATATTTATTCATATCCCCCAGTGGAGCAGAGGTTAGTTTTTTCGAACTTACAATACTAAAATCCAGAGTTCGATTTCTCACGGTAGATAGAGTGCAGAGATCTCATATGTTTATATTATGTTTTCCAGTATTCAGGAAGCCATAAACTGCTTAGTGAAAAAGGAACAACACATTACTAGCATCTTCTTCACACAAGGATCTTTATTTTCAAGCATCTATTGTACTATACAGAGTCATACGAATTTTACGTCGCGATTTTATTACTTAAAGATTTTTTCTACTAGAATGCATCTCATAATAGCATACACAGACCTATTTAACTGATTCAACTTCAAAAAATTGCCCACATAATTGTACTAAAACCAGCAAGTTATGTTATTTGTATTCTACACTATCATTTGATCCAAACATTTTTTTCGATCTAAGTTGTTAAAGTCACCACAAGCCACAAGTTAAATTGAAACGTTAAATAACAAACCACACGCGGGGTTAGAATATAGCAATTATGAATCTATTTCATTAGATATCTAACATAGCTTCGACAGATATCTTAAAGGAACTATGGGCAAGACACGAATCTACAAGTAAAAGCACTACAGAACATCTATACATTTTAATATCCTTATCTCTGACTACCATTACAAATATGAAATGATGCATTATTCGCAAAACAGTTTCAAAAGTACTGCAATAATAGCAAATAGAGGCAATGACATGGACGGAATTCATTGTTGCAAGTCCTTAAATTTCACTCCTCAGGCATAAGGCGCATTGTTAATCTCTCAGTCTGTTCTTTACTAATATTTCAGTAGGGTTAACCATTCATACCAAGATCGCCGCAAGAATTTGCTAGGAATTAATCAAACACGTTATTCAAATGTAACCTTCTCATCAGATTGCTTTGGAAAAGCTCAATCTAAATGACAGGTTATTCGAAAAAGTTTCATTGTTGTACCATGCATAAAAAGATTTATACGGTTGACCTGATATAACTAACAAGTTCTTATTCTCAGAGATGATGCAATGCAGATATGTTTGCTAAAACTCAGTCATACGGACTAAGAAATCCAGAAGTATGTCCTCTCTCTATATATATCAGTTATTTATCGTAAATCTAGTTCAATTTGTTTTTTTTTCTTTACTAATCTGATTCTAAAAAAATCCAAGTTACACACCAATCATTTTTATCCAGAAATCTAGTTTTACTGCTATTAAAGACTGACGAATATTATGGGGTTGTTATATTCCTTGAAACAACAGAAGAAAATAAAATTAAAAGCTATAAGAAATGTATAAAGCAATCTACGCAGGTACCACGAATGTGTTTTCCTTTCAACTTTGAGAACCGCATCTCAAGTATTTCCAGAAACCTTTGAAGGTCTGACAAGTAACACATTTCCACCAAAATATTTCCATAAAGTTTATCATCTGTAAGTGACGAATTAACAAGTGCATTTCCTACAAGGCATCCTGAGATTGAGTAATTCTACTTAGTATTGTCTTATATCGACAATGACATATGATTTGAAATGCTATTTATCATCTATAACTCCGTCTTTTTAACCCTTAAATCGCCCTATTCCAAACGTCCAGAAATGCTACAAAAGAACGCGAATTTCTTAGTTTTTGCTATACAGGGCCTTTTGTGTGAATGCAACCAAACTCTCCAATTTCAGTCAAACACTAAGATATTATGCATTTAGTACAAAATACAAGTCTATGTCACAAAGCATTCACCTTTAGCTCATTTATAATAACGAAAGTGGCAAATTGTAGTTTACCCGCACCTCAGTATTTCATTTGTATGCTTACCTAATACTTTTCAAATACCTCAAAAAACATGTGTATGTACAGTAACTGTATTTGTTACATAAACTAGGCGAATATAAAAGAAAACTAGGTTATGTCGAAATGGTCCCTGTTCGTGAATAGGAGATACACACATAAATATATATAATTGTTTATCATGAGCAGAATATAAGTTGTATTTTTTTTAATATAAACGTATTGATTTCATTTTTCAATCAGTTCTGGGTCAAATTCAAACGTTTCATGAATAGAAGATACACGCATAACATTATATATAATTGCTTATAATAAGCAGAATATGTTTTTGTTTTTAATGTAAATGTATCAATTTTATTTTTCAATCAGTTGTGGGACAAGCTCAGATGTTTCTCAATTCTCAAATGCCAGTTTAAGCAAAATTTACATAGATGTAAAACTATTTTTAGAATGGCATAAAAATTCTGCTTTCAAAAATAAATTACATAGATTTGAACATTTTGGATACAATGTTACTAAATTTTTAGACCATGTTTTATTTTAAAAGTGGTCTTCCTCTAATTAACGGGCCACAAAAACCTGGTGCATAGGGAAAATTGCAATCACCACGTATATTTCAGAATATAAACTGAGGCGATTGTGAACGATGGACAACTAAAGTCTAATATACATTCTGAAGGACTACTTCCAAAAAAGGCCTAATCCACGCGAACATTCAGATTTAGGATGACTTGTATGTGTAAGAAGTGATGGCTCAAAAACGTTTGTTTAATTAATAAAAAAACAACCCGAAAACGTCTGTGAACGTACTATGTAATTGTGTGTGTGTGTTAAAATATTTTTACAAACTAATTTCATGCTCAAGAGTTCCAATAAATAAACGAATAATCTGGAAATAATATGCAAAATATAACGGAATATGATTTTCACATTACTGCATAAAACTGTACATTTGTTTCACTAGAAGGCGTAAGAGGTTCATCATTAGTATATAGTTGCTATGACAACAATGAACAAGTCATTTGGTCCTGGCTTCAATGTCATACATCTAAATAAAGTTTATTTGATCTATAACCAAGAGAAAATAGTAATACCATTTCTATTAACCAGCTGTTTCTACACGTTGATTCACGTAATATTTATATTATAAAAGCGTATTTTTACCCATTTTACAGTAGTAGGTAATCTTAGTTTGGTAGTGACTTAGTGAGTAACTTTATGTTAAAAGTCGGAACTTCTGTCAGACTGGTTTTTATCATCATGCTATAAGTGAAATATTTGAATGACTCTATTCTCAGGATGTACTTGGTACGTCTTTTTCCTACAAATGGACCCCGATGACCAATATGGGGAGCGCTGCTCATTAGGCCTAATATGAATTTCTTAGATTGTAAAAAGCAGGGAGGGTTCCAAATTTTACGCCGAAATACTTACTCTGATGCTCAGTTTATTACGCGCAATCGACTGATTTACAGTTTAGACCAATTAAACAGGACTTCACGAACAAAGAGGCATACCAAACTCTGTATGAGACATTTAATTCAGTAGGATGGTAAAAGTAACAAACGTAATTATCGTAGCAGGGTCAGTAAATAAGGAAAACGCTCGAGTTAAACAACAGAACAGATCTGGGATAGCATGACGTAATGAAAAATAATCCTTGCATATCCATAACCCAGAAGATTAAACACGAGCAAATCTACCAGAAGACTATAGGCCAGGAAATGTATAAAACTTCCAAGGACAGTTGAATAAGAGAAAAAAGAAAAGCCTTTGTCCAGAAAGACTACACTAATATACTTACAAAAGTAAAGAACAATTCCTTAGTAACAGCAGGAAATTTAATATAAATATCGTTAAAGTCGAATAGAGAAAAGGCTTAACAAGGTATAAATACCTTTTCGAAAATATAGAACACAGCTTTGTAAAAGCAAGAATTATAGAGGTAGATTAAACATATATAGAAGATGATGAAATTTAACAAAAAAATGTATTTGTAGTAGGAAGGGCACTAGGAAAAAATACGACAAATAAGCAGGATCTATATCCTCAAAATAGCACTCTTCGACTAAAGCTCCTAGAAGATACCTCATTCCAGAATAGTGAGGAAGCCTAATCTCTAGAAATCCTCATTTCTATATCCACTGTTTGTGTTTATGGAAATCCTTAATGGATTATCCATCCTTAGAAAGTAGGGTATTTATTGGACCCATCTTTCAAACCCTACATAGGTGTCGCGACTAGAATATAAGACAGACCCGTGACTTATCCAAATAGAAAAGTATTCAAAGTCACACTGTATGATATCTTAATGGGGAGTACCACATAAGCAACTATTGGAATCAAGAATTGAAACATTTCTTCTGCTACCAATATACATCTACACAAAATATATGATTACCACGCAAATCATTATTAGGGTTAATTTCACTTCTAACACTTTCATGTTAAACATGGGTATAATATAAGAAAACCAAAAGGAAATCCTAACCACAATGACAATAATTTCTAAGAATCTTCATAACCATCGCAACCATGCGAGGTAATCACAGTAAGCTTATTTCTACGATAAGAATGCAATAGGGATTACTTGCATAGTGGCTTCTATTTGTCTTGTCATGATTTTTGCACAAACAATTATTAGCTGTCATCTGCAGCAATAGCCTAGATATGAAAATATAGAGAAATGGATTGAGGAATAATGAAATGAACATGAAAAAGTGGAAACATTTTGAACGATCTAAATCCAATGAGAATGTCTTATCAAAACATCTCTGATATGTGTGAAACTTTTCAGAAGTTAAATTCTCACTCAGTTAATTTGATCTTATCACAAAATATACAATTAATTTTTTTTCTGCTTAATTTGAAGGATATCTTGTTTCTACTGGTTATTCAATAAAAAGGTTCACAAAACTCCCCATAACCGGTTTCTTTACACATTGAAAGAATGCCATAATATTAGGAAAAATAATGACCACTTATTCTAGTGTGTTTCACCAACGGCCAGTGTTTGGGAGTGATATACAAACCATATTTGTTTGTTTTTTTCACAGACTTGTACATAAATTACACTCTCTACTATTTTCATATTCGTTACAGCTCCCATAATAAAATTCGGTTTTAAACTTTAGACATAAAGAACCTTTCAGCACTGCTACACTCACATTGAATACAAATCCGGACCTTTTCTTCGTGTAACATTTTCTTTTAACATTTGTTTGAAATAATTAAAGTATATTTTACCATAGACTGTTTAGTTTTCATGAAAGACAAACATAACATGGGAGTTTTATAATTATGGATATTATAAAAAATGGAACTATTCTATTGACCAGATATTTTACTTTTTATGTAGCACAGCATTTTTGTTCGTATCCTGTTCAATATTTCATCCACAATATAGAAAACAACCATATGACCATCCCATATAACAACACATTCTGACTTATGCAACCAGAAATGTACCCTCACAACTTTGAATCTACTACTACAAATTTATATATATTTTTCTTACCATTTATACTCCTGTGATTTCATTCAGTAAACACGTGACCGGGAAAAATATTTCATAACACTTTTGTTCAGTATATAGACATGGAGAGCATATACACTCTTTACGCAACCATGCAGTTTACGTCTGAAAAGATGCAACTCCTATTTCAAAATTTGTTCCTATCCGAAACCTAATATAGAGCATAATAAATCTATTGAGCTCAATAATTAATCAATGATTCTCTACATACATTATACAGGTTTTCATGTTTTAAATTTTTTGGAAATTGATAATTTTTAAATCAGTGGAAAGATTTGGACCTAAACCATGTTACATTACTCTTGCATCAAAACAGTCCATACTAACGAAAGTATTTAATCGTGGAGTAATGTATAGACTAAGTCTGAACTATAAACTTGGTTTTCCTAGAAACATTAGATTTTAAAGATTACAGATGTTTTTAAATACACATTTCTCTCATACTGGTATTTCATGTTAATTATTGAAAGAACCTTATTGAATTATTCCATAATTATATTTATTATCATTGATTTTTAATAATTATTTATTTTATTGAACAATACAAGCGTTAAAGATACTAAACTGGTAACTGCAATATAGATTACATAAGTTTTTTACAGCGGAAAAACTGAGATAAAATTATTTATCTATATATATATATATATTTACCGGTCACATATTAAAGGTCATGTTGTATTTAACAAATTCGAAATCTCAGGTTGGTAAGAAAAAATATAACTTCATCAGTTGCTGTGGATACAGTTTTTCTAATACATTATGTTGCACAAAGTCTTCCAGAAGAAACATATTCAAAACGCCGTAAATGTACAAAACATAATATTAAATTAATATACAAAATTTTAATTATTATCATAGACTTTTTAAATCAAAGTTTAAACTATTCAAAGCACTTCCTAAAATAAAACGCCAAACTTTTGTAAAATCGGTTTCCATTTAAAGATTTTCATATGTTTTAAACTATACTACACCATAATAAAACGATTTTGAACAACTTAAACATAAGTCATTAATTTAATAATCAAACATCAAACTGCCAGTCCACTGGATATTTTCTTCTTTTAATCACGAGAGACCTAATTTAAGAATAAAAATAAAAATATATTATTTCGTGATATCCTCTTGTAATTAGTTTTTGTACATGCCTCCTATAAGTGTTCTGAAACTCTAGGATAGTATATTTTAAACTAAGTTGCTTTGCTTAATTTCTTCTATATTTTCTGTTTTACCTATATCTGTAAACTCCAATGAAACCTTTAAGCATATTACGAAGGCATCTATTGCTCGAAAGGGAATATTGAACACAGAGGATAGGAAAATGTTATTTGTTTTTGACTGAGGATAAATCAGGAAACATCTCAACCTATAGTAGTTTTTAATGTCAATTTTGTATCCTATTGTATTGTATGAAATTCCCGGTTCTTCGAAAATAATATATTGTAATCATTGTTCAATAATTCAAATAATTTGTTTTAAATTTCCCGAAATTCGCTTGTTGGCTTTGTTTTACTTTTAGCGCTCTATTAAAGTGTTTTAGGCGAACAACTCAACAAAAACTCTTCTTTTTTTTTCTCTGTGAAAAACCATAGATGATTTTGTTTGGTTCTCGTTCCATTTTTATCAAACTGTAAGCTAACGAAACTGTGCATGCATGTGGCATCCTAACAGCCCTGAATTTCACAGTATATGGTCTAATCTAATTACAATATAGGGGAAATGCTTTCGACAAAAATTTTTTAGTTACCTTATCAATACTAGTTATCTGTTTTATATTAATATGTATTTACAGTTTTATTTTTGCCTTTTAGATAAAACTTTTCTTTTATTGAACGTTTCCTTGTTTGAAAAAAGCCCACTGCCTTAGCCTATTTTATTGATTTTGTAGTGATACTGATATATTGTTAGATGTAATTTATCAACCAGATGGAGACACGTTAGGCCTACCTCTCCCATCTTGTACTTAAAAGACTGCATGTAAGAATTTCAGATCACTACTTACTTAACGAAAGATAATAATTCAACATCATAACTAATGACCGTTAATATGAGAAGAAACTGAAGAATAAGAAACCTATTGCACTGATTATAGGTAATCACCAGATGGAGACACGTTAGGCCTACCTCTCCCATCTTGTTCTTAGCGTATTCAATTCGGATTCCTCCGCGATCTGAAGAAAACAAAACGTAGCCTTGGAAAGCGTTCATGGCATGTGCTGCTAGACGTACGTCCTGGAGGAAGGAACAAGAATTAGCAGAAGCTACATTAATCTGAGAAAATTAATCTGGTAAAACTTTCCCATGACAGAACCCATGAGAAGGAAAGCAATGTGAACGATATATATAATATTCGATTACGTGTTTAAATCTTGATTTTTGGTTTTGACAGAAGCAAGCCTTAACTGTTTGCATTTCTTCGAGAGTTGTATATTAAAAGTTTCATCTTCTTTGATTCGGCAAGTGTGGAAAAAATATATATGTATATGAAATATTTAGACTTTGAATAATAATAATAATATGTGCTGTTCATAGTATTTTTATTATTTTGTGATTCTTTTACAGATTCTACTGAAAAGAATTCTACTCCAACGTATTTAATTTTAGATTCACTTTTAATGGGTGACTATTAAAAAGTATTATTGAATTTTTAAAAATTGCAAAAATGTCCTGAAAAATAGAAGCTTTCTGGACTGAAATTTGTCACGAAGAAATATTGTCAGTTTAACTTTCAAATAAGACTTCCAGGAAGAAATATTATCAGTTTAACTTTCAAATAAGACTTCCAGGAAGAAATATTATCAGTTTAACTTTCAAATAAGACTTCCAGGAAGAAATATTGACAGTTTAATTTTCAAATAAGACTTCCAGGATTCTTGTATTGTGTGTTTAACTGTTAGCTTCTGCTGGAATATTAGTCACATATTTCTCCTTATGGGGATATTAACTCTTAAATTGCACTCTTAGCTACAAAAAAAAGAAAAAAGAGAATAAAAATCAACAAGTAAGCAATAAAAGCTCAGAACATTATCTGCTGTCCTCAATTTTATGTCTAAAGGATCAATTGTTAAGAAATTAGAACTTGAATTATAAAATGTCGTACTTTTACCACGAAAATGTCTGTTAGAAAAAATACAAGGTATGATCGTGCAATCCTGAATATGTTTATAACGCCTTTATTAACTCACTTGTTTTAACGCAAAACTATACAATAAGCTATTGGGGTTATGTCAGCAGTGGGGTCGAGCCCCGAATTTTAGCATTATAAACCTTCAAGCTTACCGCAGAGGTACCAATTCTTCTTTCTTAAGTGTAAAAACGCTTACCCTAGTCTAGCATTTAACAAAACTATACAAATGAACACCATAATGAAAATAACACGCATTTAAGTAATTGGTATGGATTGTAAGTGGGGTGCAAAAGTTCGTTTTTCTTCTCTTACTTCTTTTCAGATATTAATGAATTAGCCAAGATCTTTAAACCTTCTGTCAAATGGTTTGCTTCTCACTATATAGGAGCTAGTTTACAGCCTGTCTTTGTAATGAGTGTATCAGTGGAACGGGGACATGTTGAAGAATATCTGCCCTCTACCTTTAAATAAAAATCTTTATAATTAAATGACTGAAGTTTTAGGCATAATTTGTAAAGATGAAAATGAGAGTTGATTGGATCAGTTTTTTGTTTTGTTTTTTTTCAGCAAGAAGAGAACTTGTTCGTTTATCTAAAATATAAGTAATTTGTTAAAATAACAACCAAGCCAACTAGCGGTCTTTCGGGAAATTAATATAAATATTTTTATAGTAATGTAGATAAATTGTCAGATACCCGTGGAGAAAAAAAGACAGAACACCCTATATAGTACTAAATATATTTCTCAGCAACAAAACCAATACATATTTTCCATGCTTTTATATTAAACTCTTATGTAAGATTAATTAATTATTATAATGATTAAAATATTTTGATAATTAAAATATTGTTTGAAAAATATAAAATTACCAAGAGCAAAATTACATAGTTAGTCTTGTTTGGTATCATTACGAAAAATATAATGCTCGTAAAGACTTTATTTACTGGTGCATTTTATGAATTTACTTGTATTTGAGAAAACATTTTTTAATTTTAACATGTAATTAAAACACTATCAAGGATTTAGTTTTATCACAAATAATTAGATTAAGAAAACCTTCCCATGCGGTTTTAAATATCAGAGTTTTATTGAATTTCGGGGCAATTTTTATTATTGTGTCATAAAACTATAAAGGATTGGTGTCAGTAATGACTCAAAATGGCCTTTCTCATAAGTTGAGGAAAATATACACAAATGTAGTGCCAATGAAATAGACTGCTTATGAAAGGTTACACCGTTGCCATGCCAGATTTCCAAGACAGGGATAATTAACACGTGCACACCGATATGTGATGAAGTTGGATTTGTTTTGTTGAATGTTTCTAAAGTAGTTACAGAAACATTATATATATATATATTAACAAATCCAATAATCTATTTCAAGTAACGATAGATGGAGACACTTATGCCTCGTATTTCATACTGACAGCAAACATTAGTGTATGATGCCTTTATATTACAATACATGTATATCAAGTTGAAGGAAATTTTAGCTTAATGTAGTCTTTCCAGTTCTCATATAAACTTACAGTGTTGTTTTTAAATATATATATGTTTCATATACACCATTCTTCACAGTAGAATTTCAGTCCAGATCAGCTGTACCAAGCGTCTTCTACTCGTGGTGTCAAAAAGAAGAAAAAATGTGTTCTAGTTACTACAAAGGCTTAGACATCATAAAAGAGACGCGATGTGAGTACAGATCCTGTTGTTTTTATCTCGGAGGAACACTGGCAATACCAGTCACGTATTGAACGTACAAACGATGCTATGTCGTAGGATGTCCATCAGGACTAGATTTTTGATGTCATATGCCATGACTGGACTTTTATTTGTAGCAATTTTATGTCGCTCTTGTGCTGAAATGAGATACAATCGCTGATGTCTGAGAGATGTCCCTGACCATCCTTCTCAATGTAGATACACCTAGGGTAGCGTAACTTCCACCAAGCCTCGCTATTCCCGCGCACGTTTTATAAGATCAAAGCTTTGAGAGATCAAGTCTTTTGTGTGGTATGGAGTCGATAGTTGACTCAAACTAACATAATTTTTGGAACGTCTAAGTTTTGAGAGACCAGGTCCTTTGTGGAATATGGAATTGAAACTTGCTACAAAGTAACGTCTCTCCAGATAACACGTTCACGTTTACTGAACTCCATTTCCACCCCATTTTATGTTTTATGATGTGGTGGGTCATTCTAGGCTATTAATGACACCCATCCTTATTTCTGAAATAATACACAGCCCACACCAAAATATATTTTCATTTTAAAGAAAGTTATTTGTGAGTTTAATATAGAAAATTTAATTTGTATTCGCTAACTTAAATAGTACAATTTTCGTAAAAAAAGTTTACCATTTAGGTAATACACAACACTTCTCATTTATTACTGTTGTTAAAACTGCTCAACTACTTTAATGAAATGTATCCAACGTCGTGCAAGTGTTTGGTAATATACATGTATATATATACATATACATATTCATAATAAAACCATTTGATATCGACTTAAAACTGTAAATATAGAAAATAAAAGTAAACACCACTTGTTGCCTTTTCTTTAATTGATAAATCTAAATCTAAAAGCTACAATATAATGTATTACATTTTACAGTGAATCTCATTTTGACAAATAAGCTGGTTGCTACTTTATTAAGTTATGTTTGAACAAGGGTAAAATTATAAACAGTTTTTAACGTCAAATCAAAGAATGACTTGAAAATGATCTATTAATTAAATGGATCTAAATTTTTCTAATGGATTGGTGTCCATAAATCAATATAAATTGTCACTTAAGAATATTGATTGTGATTAAGATATAATACTGATTTTTATGTCACTAATACATAAAGGAATTTGTTGTTAACAATAACTTCTAAAAGTACAAAAGGCATAGAATATTTTGGCACTTTAGAACTACATATTTATGTTATTTCATTTCACAGGGATAAAAACTGTCAACCTATCTGTAAAAGCAATATGTGTACGAATAAGAAATAAATCATGATCTACAGACATTCTAAAAACAAGAGTGATCAGTAAAAGATCGTTAACATATTTTCCAAAAATCGCTACTAAAAGGTTGGGAAAGATAAATTGTCATTCTATTTACATTCTCTCTGACCATTATAATATAAAAAGTTAAAAAAAAACATATTATTGAAATCAAATAATAAGGCATCAGCTTATTTGAACATGTCTGATATTTCATAAAAATTATATTATTCTATATAAGTAACTTTTTAGATTCTAATAAGGTGTTATCATACCTGATATTCAACAAAAGCCACCGGTGCTCCTCCTTTGTTGTGCATTCTCAGACGGCAAAAACCAGGAAAGCTGAAAGAGAACTACCTTTAAATTTATGCTTGTAGAAATATTGTTTAAAATCAATTGGTAACTGGTACACTATTCTAAATATTTTATTTTTACAACTAATCAAAAATACAAAATCAGCACTAAAAGCTGGTGCCTCCATCTAGTGGTAGATTAGAAAGACAGGGAAGCATATTATCAACAATATATATTACTAATTAGCTAAATTTATTAATTTCCAGGCTAAATTAATATCAATTAAACTAATCATAACCAAATGAACATTCAAATCTTTATGACAAGTGCTGTTCAAGTATTTTAATTTTGTAATTGTCTGCGTTTTTACGATTTTTTTTCTGTATGAAGATGTTTGTATTTCTTTAATTTGCTAAAAACAATTTTGTAATTTAGTTTTTACATAATTTTATGGAAAAAACTGATGAAAATCGGTTGATTTATTATATCCAACAAATCTTACGTTAGCACACATAAAGTTTTGTTTCTATTAACTAACGTAAAAAAAAATGTTTGTCATAAAAAAAAGAAATAGTTAGTAGACGTGAACACAAAACAGCTGTTTATTTATTAGCTTTTGATAATCCGAGAACAAAATATTTGTACCAGCCAAAGATCTTTGAGTTCTTGTTCTGAAACAAATTGGCCTAGATTTGCAACAAAGAGAGTTGAACAAGGAGGTGTATTAGATACAGACGAGGCAGAGCCTACAGGACTGGCTAACGCCGGACTCGCCACCAGATGGGAGGGTGGTATCGTGGCGTGAATAGCTGCAGTTCCCGCAAGAGCAGCGTGCGAAAGAGCTGGGTGTACTGTCAAAGGGGGCTATAATCAAAAGAAATAATAAAAAGAAAAGAAAACTATTAGCTGCCATTAACCCCTAAATTTTTTTAAAAATAATATTAAACTATTCATTAAATCGATAGTTTACTCATCCAATTAATTTGAAGTACCTTTTGTTTTTCTTTTAAAAAATACATTAAGTGGGATGTTTTACACATAACATTTCTTTAGAGGTAATATAGCTTCAGCTTTATTAAGAAAGTGAAAAGTGGAGTCAGAGTGAGTTGGTGACCAAAACAATCTAAACAAAGCATCTGATGGTGCAGAAAGCAGTGCAGTTGATATTTAGTTTATAGAAAACCTGTCACATAATGAAAAACATGACCATAATAATTCTTACGTAGTTAATAATTACCGGAAGTTGAGCATGCAGCGCTGGATGTAATAAAGCAGGAGAATGGAGAGCTGACGTTACCGGTACTTCAGCATAAGAAAGAGGATGTGGAGACCAGCCGTCGTGAACTCCTGGCAGGAGAGCAGCTCCAATTTCTTCTGAAACATAGTGATCTTGGTGTACTTACAGTTATCAGATAAATCCTTACCTAACCAAGCATGGCCTGACTTAAAGTTATTTAAGACAAATATTATTTTGCTTAACAAACAAACAAACAACAAAAAAAAAGAATAAAGGTGGCTGATTAAGAAAATTTTAATTGATATTTTAGAAATCATTCTTGGCTGATTTGTTAAATGTTAATACACTTAAAGTTTGTTGAAGAGCTGAAGATAAGGTTTTAAAATACATAACAAACGTTAGTTCAATAAAAACAGAAATATAGTGAGGAAATTTGAGAAATAAGTGTAATTATTTTGTATATCAATACAACAGGGAGTTCAGTGAGTACAATTAGAGACAAGCCATTTGGATAGATTAGTGGTGTTAAAGTGTTTGCAAGATACCAAACTTCGTAACTTAAACAAACTTCAGAGAGGCGGTATTACAGGCCACGGAAACAGCGAACATTTAAGAGATGAAACTTGGTTACACGTGATGTACCCAGCATTAGGTTATTGAGCACTAAAGAAAGTTTTATGGCACAGCATCTAAGAAACGTTAAGTTAGAGGAAATATTCATCTGTGGCTTTGAAAGAAACCCAGAAAACTGCTGTTACAGGCACTCAGTATGGCCTCCTGTGCCGTCTGTAAGATCCGTGTTCGGTACAGTTCATGATTGCTGGAATATGCTAGGCCTACATCACCATTAAGCATGTTTTGTTTGTTGTAAAATCTTTAACGATTATTCGCGTATACAGAGGAGCTAAGATAGCCGCTTTATCTCGGTTTTATAGTGATGATTCAGTAGGAGTCTGGGAATCAACATCTGAATATTCGGCTGTAACGGTATTCTACCAATTATGAAAGACTTGAACAAAGTGTTAAGGCTACATTATGAGAAGTTTGGGACTTCTCTGCATGTTTAATGCCCATCGTTAGCAAAAAAAAAAAAAAAAACTTAAATAAAACGTTACAGAGGTCATGGTATGTTTGCATTAGCCAGAAAGATGTTGCCAAACGTCAAAGCAACATTATATACGACTCGTAGCCCAGATCTTGACATTCTGGAGGAGTTTATTTACAATAAGTTAAGTTGAAGCTTTCCATTCATCATCAACTGATCGAGTTTTTGAAACAGCAATACAGATAAAATTTACCAGAAACTTGTCTAAACTTAGTTTAAGACGTGTTTAGCAGAGTTGCAGTATTTATTAAACTAAGAGTGGTGCTAAAATATTTTTAAAGAACGTTATTAGTAAAGCCCCGCCCCCCTTTTTTACTACATATTCAAATATTACTGTGGGGATAGTGTACAAAATTCTTATCTATAACTCAAGTCAATAAATCGTTTGTGAAATGGAAGACGTTTCGAACTTACAATTCTGTGAAGCTGAGAACTAACAGTGGAGTCATTATCAACGCAGGAAATAAGGGCAATGAGAAAAAAAATACATATATTTATAAAATCAATGGAAAATATGCTTATTAAATGAAAATTTCATTCTGCAGAGATTAATTAGCTATGGTTTCTTTGCATGAGGCTAAATACTTTCCTAAAGTGGTGAGGAATCATTTCTCGCTTAGGGCGTCAAATATCCTCCCAGTGAAGGAGCTGTTTAAGAAAGTCTTGACAAAATATCTCGAGAGAAGTTGCTGGAATAAAAATTACTTGTCATAGAACCTTGAAGGGGCTCAGTAAAGAGTTTTTGGATCCATTTATAGATTTCTTTAACATAATAAGGATAATGAGGTTTTTGGAACCGTTAATTAAATTAATTATTTTTAGCTTATTCACTACAGGAGTGATACTACGTTGCTCGAAAGATTGCAGAAGCAAGTTATTATAATGACATATGCCTTAAGAAATCGGAGCTACTTGTTTTATACGTGTTGTCTAGTTAAATGTTGTAACAGAAATACTGGAAATACAGACTTGAATATCAGGACCAATCAGAACTTTTTCTCGCAAAACTACTTTTTTCTCAGAATTAAAAATTTGTTGAACATGGTTATTTAAATGTTTACTGTTATCTATAGCTGAAATGTTGACTGTTAACTTCAATACGGTTGATGGGTTGTTAATTACGTGATGTAGTTATGATAGCTTTAAGAAACTAATAGAAAACAAATTTAGTAATGGAAATAGATTCAGCGCTTAACTAACTAAGGACGACCCTACATTTGTTGAAACTTGATACTGGTAGATTTATAAAGCTATAAGTAAGGTAAAAAGTATTGTAAATAAGGATAATTTGTAGATTAGAAATACAGAAAGAAAAATATCACTATCACCATCGCGACCCTTCTTTTTTCAAAATTTCTGTTCTCAGAGAGGAGACATACAAGTGAATATACTCATGACAAACAGTAGTTTTGTAAAGCGGGAGATAAAGAAGGAACATACTCATAATAAACAATAGCTTTGTGAAGCGGGAGATAAAGGGACATACTCATAACAAACAATAGCTTTGTAAAGCGGGAGATAAAGGTCCGCTGTTACAATGTGAGTTCCTGTAACAGGCCACCGCTGTTTATTTCACATTGATTATTTATTTCACACAGGTGCACCGCTGTTACAATGTGAGCTGCTGTAACAGGCGACAGCTATTTATTTCACATTGGAACAATTACACTATAGATACATGAGTCATTATATTCGACCTACCTCGAATTCAGTTCAGGGGTGGATTGGAAAAAAAAATTGTTTACAGTATCTTTTCGGACAAAACAACAAAACAAAATATTGTTACTAAACTTGATTAATTTAGTATATCAAATACCGATTTATCTTATATTTGTTTCTTAATTCTACCACGTGAAGGCTACGGACTTGAGTGAACCAGTAAAAATCAAGCGTAATGCAATATACCTTAGAATAACTTAGATGAATATGACGTAAATGTCCACTTCGCCCCCAGTGGCACAACGGCATGTCTTCAGACTAAAAAATAAAAAAGCTAGAAACCGTATTTCGATACCCGTGGTGGGCAGAGCAAAGAAATCCCATTGTGTAGCTTTATGCTTAATTACAAACAAAAGAAAACAAACTGTCCATTTTATTTTAACTAAAACCATGGACAAAGGCAAATAGTTTGATTTTCAAACTGAGGCCAGTAAAATACAAAATAATTACTATTGGAAGATTCGTTTGTTTGTTTTGAATTTCGCACAAACGTACACGAGGACTATCTGCACTAGCCGTCCCTAATTTAGCAGTGAAAAACTAGAGGGAAAGTAGCTAGTCATCACCACCCACCGCCAACTCTTGGACTACTATTTTACCAACGAGTAGTGGGATTGACCGTTACATTATAACGCCCCACGGCTGAAAGGGCGAACATGGTTGGTGTGACGGGGATTCGAACCCGCGACCCTCAGATTGCGAGTCGAGCGCCCTAACCACCTGGCCATATGATGAATGGAAACAGTAAGAAATTATTTAAAACTAACCACTGAATAACTTACATGAGATGCAGGAAAAGTAGCTTATGGATATTAAAGTCAAGCGTGCTAACCGCCATAACGGGCCTTTATTGGAAGAAATGATAGAGCTAGTTTATTAAAATAAGTTGCTTCAAATTAATATTACGTGAAATTGATCTTGTTTGGCTGCTACTGTATTCAACACATCACAGACAACACATTGACTTACATCTGATCAAAGAAGAAGAAGAAGCTTCCTCGTTTCACTCCATTAACGAACAGTTAATTCTTCCACTACCTTTCTATGTAAAACGAGTAATTCATCACTTATAAAAGGGGAAATGTGTTTCATATTAAGGTTGTTTTTTTTTAAACTCCTGTTTTCATTTGGTAAACTTGTTTACGGTCATCGCAACATGCTTTTACTACCATTATCTCTCAATAATCCTGGTACTTGGTTTTGTCTGTTAATTATTGAATCTTCATAAATGATTTCATTTGAAATTTTAACATTCTTACAATTTTAAAATACTTATTTAGAGATCTTGAGCAGGAGTTTATATTCTAAGCAAACTTAGACTAATCTAAAAAACTAGGCCTACTCTCTGGGCCGATTGCTATTAATGTTTCTATGATACAAGAATACTGACATTATTTTTTTTTCGTCAGATAAGAGTAGCCCAAGAGATGACGACGGTTGCTGCCTTTATTCTACCCTATCAGTTCGAATTTAAGAAGGGTTATGCGTATCTAGCTTTTTTTGTGTATCTTTTCAGAGCTATTTCTTAGGATCAGTAAAACATTTTCTATTTATTTCACACAGGTGAACCGCTGTTACATTTTCAATTTATTTCACACAAGTGAACCGCTGTTACAATGTGAGTTCCTGTAATTGGCCTTCGCTATTTATTTGACTCAAGTGAAAAAGTGGTTTCCTTTGCTTTGCTCACTGGATGCAGACCTCGCATGACCTTGTGGTTAGCGTTCTCGACTCGCAATTTGTACGTCGCTGGTTCGAATCCCCGTCACACCGATCATTCTCTCCCTTTAAGCCGTGGGGGCATTATAAAGAGACGGTCAGTTCCACTTTTCGTTGGTAAAATACTAGTTCAAGAGTTGGCGGTGGGTGATGTTGACTAGCTGCTTCCCTCTAGTCTTA